AATATATATATATATATATATATATATATACCGGTATATAAAAAATGTAAAAGAGGAAATAGTCTTCTGATGTAGAAGCAGGAGCACAAATGAAAAGACAGGAGATATCTTACGGGAAAGAAAAGAAAGGTGAGAAAAATGAAGTGGAGAAATAATACTCTGTCGGGCCATTGGGAGAGGGAATGAAGGGAAAAAATGGGTCATCAAGATCTGGGAATGTATAAAACTGGAACGAAGAATGCAAAGAAATATGTGAGCAAAAAAAAGGGGGGGGATAATAAATACTAGGCAGAATAGAGAAAGAACGAAAATGAAAGAAGACAAGCCAATTGTATTACCATAACTCATTATACGCGGTTCGTTACCCATCAACCCATAAATCCCTTTAAACTCCTGACAATTTCACCAACCTCGAACACCAACCTCCTAATAACCTTTTCTTCCCAGGCTTTTTTCCCAAGTTCCCCGACCTCTTTCTTCACGAAAACCACCTTCCCCCCTTCTTTCGCCTCAACCGCATCTCCACTAATGCTCCCATGAGGCACGTTCACGACATATATGGTCATGTCGGGTCCAATGCAGCCCCGCCATAAAGTCGCACACCACTGCCAATGCTCGAGCGCCGAAAGGTCATCAGACGAGAGCCTTGTAGAAGCAGAATTACTTCTAGAAACCATATACCGATTCACCAACACCATCCGTTGAGATGCGCCGTTGCTATGCATCACTGCATTCTTGATTTGGAAACATCTCCTCCTCCACGAAGAAACATGATTGAGGTATTTCGCAGCCTCAAGGTCATCTTCGGTGTCCTTAGGGACGCCCGCAGAGTCGAGATCGTTACTGTCACCTGCTGGCACCAATAGTCCATCGCTTATTTCGGTACTCTCCTCCAACTTTTGGGACTGTTCTGAGGCAGAAACGTCCGGCTCATCAATAATTTCAATAGGGTCGGAATTGGATATCAGCTTTACAACCGCATGGAAAAGCTCTGATACTACCTCAATGTCATCGCCTTCGATTGCAATAACCGGCAGCCGAGAGATGCCCATACCGGTCGGAAGGGGTTTGCATATGCGATGGAAAGCACTTATTTTCTGCATCGGGGATATGGATTTGAGGATATGGGGTTCTGGTAATTCTGGTGAAAAATTGGACATCTGATGTGAACCGCCGGTCAGGTTGCCGTCAGCATCTAGACTAGGCATACTCTGCTCAAAGCTATTCTGCTGAAGGAAGGGGTCGATGTTGGGATTGTGTGGCTGCGGGGAGAAATGGCCCGAGTATAGGTTGTGTTGTAGCGGTGATGCCGCTAGCACATCTGTTGTAGGGGATCCGCCATTCATCTTCTGGCGCTTGGTAGATGCTTGGAGCTCCGTGACAACGACATTTTCGTCTTCACCCTGATTCCCTAGCTGAAGCAGCGCTTCAATGCCTGCTTGTTCGCCTATTGGGCCTGCCGGGCTTCCTGTGCTACCTCTGGGGACATCGTCTCCCGTGCCAGCCCGTCTTCTTTTCGATGGAGGGGGGGCTGAGGTTGGAGTTCGTGCGCTATGTGGCAGTTGAGATAGTCCAGGTGTCTTGGGCACAGCTGACCCTGGAGTTGCGGGTGTTTGGGGTGTCGAAAGACTTCCAGTACGACCACCGCATGTTGAGCATATGGCGGTCTCAAGAGGCGGTGAAATAGCGCCCCCGGAGGCACCCCCAGAACCACCTACGGCGGCGGAATTTTTCTTGCCATTCCTACGAGGCTGGTACCGGTATTCAGGATATCTCGCCAAGTGTTTCTTTTTCTCCTCCTATAGTTTTATTAACTACAAGTACTCAAAAAAACAGAGGCCAATGGTTGACAAACATCAGCATGCCTTTGCCAAAGATTCTTTGCTTCTTGCGAACTTTCTCTCCACATCTCACCAATTATCTTGGATATTTCCGGATTAGGTTTACCAGGATGCTTTGCAACAACGGCAGCCTGGTTATGTTGACGGAAAAGAATGAAGGCTAGAGTTTTAGTTAGCTCAAGTCGGAGAGGGCTGTACAATTCGATATTTGAGTAATGGCAAATAGGGAATTGCAGGAATTTTTAAAAGGGGTTTTCACCATTTCTTGGTCGCGGAATTCTTGCAGGCTGCTGACAGAGGCATATGGTCGACGGCGAGACGACTGACAGAGCTATGTCGGAGGTGCTAGGGGTACTGGGCATTCCATTTTCCTCCTCCACAGTACTCCTCGATGGGATTTTGATGGGTGCAGCATGTGGTACCGACTGTTGTGGCAGCTCTTGTGTGACGGCGGAGGGGGGCGGGGGAGTTGACGATACTGGTACTTTCTCAGGCGCCTGTGAATGAGTATTATTAATGACATGCTGTACTTGTGGATGGTTCTCATGGTGATTCCGCTCTTCCACAGCATCTGCCTGTTCCAGAGCGGCAGCAGCCCGAGCTTGCTGGGCGGCGGCGTGCTGTTGAGCGACCACCATGGCATTAACATCCGCCCGTGGTGAAGTTGAACCGGCTGCCATAAGTGAAGAACCTGTGTTATCAATCAAACCTCGCGGATCCGAAAGATCTTCTTCGAGCAAAACTCTCAAACCACCGGCTTCTTCGTCGACATTTGGAGCTTCAACCACTGTCTCTACCATGATCCCCTCCTTCCGTCTTCCGAGCTCTCTCTGGGGGAAATGATGGCGAATTAAGCTCCGGGCCTCCAACCAACTATCTAAGACAGAATCAGACTACCCTCGGCAAAAGCTTGTGGCTAAGGAGGATGAGATTGGTCTCGAGGTCTGTTCTTTTATCGTCGTTCTTTGTCAATCGCGGCAAGCTTCGTTTCGCGTTTAAAGCGTAGCTATCCCAGTAGTATCTGTACCGTACCGTATTCCGCAAAAACAGTCTTCTCGGTGGCTTCTTCCGTAAATGCTGCCGGTCGTCAATAAGGGTTTTTTTGTTTTTTTTTTCTAGAAAGACAAAATGAAGAGGAACAAAAAAAATTAAAATCCGTTCCCGTTAGTTGGTAGTACTCGGACACAAGGCAGCGAAATTCGTTGTTTCTCACAAAATCCGTACGGTATGATACGATAGAAGCGGGAGGCTCCGCGGGGGAAATCCCCAAAGAGAACAAAAAAGAAGGTTAAGAGAAAACGGGAAAGTAAAAAAAAAAAAAAAAGGAAGCTGCGCGCGCCCCGGCCCGCCAAATCTTGTTTGACGAGGAGAAGGGTAAAAAAAAAAAAAATAGAGGCTACACACACCCCTCTCTGTTTATTTGGTTTATTTTTAAGCTCCGGTTCACCAATGAATTGGTCGGTTATGTTTTCTGCAGGGAATCTTTATGTTTGCTTCGGTGGTTGAAGAGAAGAATGGATTGTATGGGGGACAAGAGGTACCGGTAGGCACACAGCAATTGTTCGGGCCTGTTGAGGGGGGAGAGAGACGAGGGGGGCGAGGAAGGACCCGCGGCTGAACGTGTAGCTACAGAATGGCGTGTATGAAATCCTTTTTCAGCTTACTTAAGATTTATCGTGAGCTAAGAGCCTTGGCGTGCAAACACGATTAAATAAGGGACCCCCCCCCCCCACGTCAATGCTAGCATCCCTTTTCATATCTCTCTTGAAGGAGTTCCGGGAAAAATAGCAAGCAGTAAGAATAATAGCGATAGACAGAGGGACCCCAATAAATCCGAATCGGAGCTCTTCCGGTGAGTGCTCTGGCCGAAAAGTTTATCGAAGACTGGCTGACATTGAGAGAGGCTGTCGTGGACCACCTCCGAGGAGGCGAGGCGGCATTGATTGCAAATATACCTGCAGCAGGCGATGTCCGTGCTCTTCAGCAGAGTCCACCACGGGGTTTCACCGCGCCGGTTCAGCACAGTCCAAACAGGATATTCGTAGTTTATGAACCGCAAACTGGAAAAATAAATGGACTGTGGTACTAGTGCTCTACACATCCCAGGTCTGAACCTGCGTGTTGAGACTCCCCGCCGCTTTTCAGCAACAGGCCAAGTAGCACCACCATCAGCTGTTTCGCATCCTGACCAACGTGCGAAATGAGTATCTCTCTCTGTTCCCACAGGCAATATACTAACGGTCCAACCAGTCAACAACTGCTCCCAACAAGGCTCCGCAGCGCCCCGGCCGGTGAGATGGCACCGCTTCGCTATCCAGTTGGAGTTCCCCAAGAACTGTTGTCAGGGACGCGTCGTGGTCTTGTGTCGTCTACTCGCAAGTGTTCCTGCACCATCTGATAAATGTGGAAGTGTTCATAGCGTATGATCCCTAGGTGGTCAACCGTATGCCGCCTCAGCAGCGCTCGATCTTACCTGACCGTGCCTATGCTATCGAACGCAGGGCGCAGACCGCAAGCTACCTAGGAACACCATTCTACAATCGAGGGATCCGGAGTCTGGTGGTGACAATTAGAGATCCTGACGAGTTCTTTTGACATGATTCAGAAGCAAGCCTTGCCACATCGAAAACAATTTATTTATTTGTTTTATACTTAGATGGCTATACCATAGTTTATCGCAAAAAGATTATTCCACTACCGGCATCCATCCGGGCGTCTCCCTGAGTCGAAGGTGATAATAGAGGAGGGAACCCTCGAGTGAGCAGGGCGAGCGCCGCACACGGGCGGTTTTCCGTCACAGTTCCGGAAGCGAAGCATTCCTCACCAAAGATTCTGTACGCGTGGAGGAAAGAAAGGATTGTGGACTTGGCGTAAAGGTGATACAGTAGGGCTAAGTAATTTCAGATTAAGCTACCAGCACCGCATGATATCATTGATATGGCACCAGTAACCTTACCGTATCCGATTAGAGAGTCCGGTGTCAAAAATGTGAGCTCTTAGCAGGGAGCTTAGGTGAGGCCGGAGAGATATGAGTTTACCAGTGCTGTATTAGCACTGTCCTCGAGCACAACACCACAGTGGCAGTAAGCTATCGGGATATGAACAGAGAATAGTACTTCAAAGCACTTTTTGCACACATCAATTGGAAAACGACAGTGAGCGTGTGTAGGCAGTTCCTTGTCCGGGGGCGGTCTCGAGTGGCCATCTGGTGAAGGTGACCTTTCCTTTTATTTGTGAGAAGCGCTTCCTTTCAAAACGAATGCTCTAATGCCAGGATGCATAAGTTGTTTCCAAGAATATTTACCTCTGTGCACTTATTATATATCCTCCTAGCTTCACGCTTTTACTGTGGCACTGTACTGCCCTTCCATTGAGCCCCTCACAATATCTCGCACCAGATACCTGACGGTTTCCGTAGCCAACTCCTTCTGAGTTCGAGGTCCGGGTCGGACATCATCCCTAAGATATTTAGCTTTGGTCAACATCTAGCAAGTAATTGGGATCTATCATACCGGTACCGGTACCGCATAAGATATCCGTTCGGTCCGTCACAAACACCCTTTTCACCCTCCACACAGCCTGTCTTAACGCGCCTCCATCCACTCTCCCCCCCACTCCCGAAGACGTCCAAAATCACCCATTCATAGAACTCGGCCCTCTTTCCACTTTTTGGCCCCTGACTCTAGTCCCCTATTCCTTTTTTTTTTTTTTACCAATAGCCCTACGTTCTTCAACTATTCCCCTCGTGAATTCTTACTCCCCGTATGGCCCCAGCCAGGCAATATTGTCCTATTATACCCAACCAGAAATCCATCGCCCTCTGCCTGAGTAAACTGCCGTTCACATATCCACAACGTAAGGTACGAGTAACTGGGGAGGGCCCAGCCGGTATTCCTCCACCTCTCCAAATTGTTCAAACTACGAATCAAGACTCGCTTCTACGGCTGCAATTCCACCCCCATTCCCAAAGAGGAGCTCTTCCGGATATCGTTCACCCCAACTAATGCCGGAAACAGCGCACTTCTCTCATTTTTCTGGTTCTCCTTCTCTTTCTTCAACCGCAAAGTCTGGAGACTAAGAATTGAATATAAGGCCATCAACTGCAGTGTCTGAGATGGCATTGAGCTGAGTAGCTGAAAGTAACTGAAGAGGGGCGTAGAAGGTGCATGCCGCTAGTTGTTCCTTGTATACTACCTCAATCCATATAAACGGGGGTTGAATGAAGATATATGGCTATTCTCATCCCCGATAATCTGCTCCTGAGCGAGTAGGGCACTTTCTAAATAAACTGGTGAAAAATAAAAAAATCACACTTCACTCCAGAGGTACCTAAGGCAAAAATTTCCGATACCAGATCCCAATTCCCGTCCAACAAGTAGTTACCAAACATCCTGCAAGCACAAATGCCAGTAATTAACCCAAGGAGGGGTGAAACTTCATAGAAGCACTAAAACATAATGTAAGTGGTAAATATAATATCAATAAGAACCCGGGTAGAGGCCGTAGAAGTAGTTCTAATTGAGCCACGAGCCAGAGGAATAAACAATTGAAACATCGAAGTCCTGGAGGAAGCTCCGGGAGAATCACGGCATGACAGTGAAACCAATATCCTGATCCATTGAGCTATCCCCTGCGCGTGACGCGTACCGTAGCGAGTACCGGTAGGTGCCTCCAAGAAGGTGCTGGTGCAAAGGTTTGGGCAAGGTAGTCTGAGCGCGGACGGGAAATGATCGATGGGGCACCGTTATGGGACGACACCGTGCCGCCAGAAAGAATCTAAACAGTACTCGTACAGTACCCGTATCCCGGGACCTCATGCAAGGAAAATAAGCAACAGCCATATTTTTGTCCGCAGATTACTCAAGTGTTCCAGTGATTCTGGCGTATTACCGGTACTAGTGTAGCAGTAGCCAGCACTGTGATATCCTGTGTTGCCTGATATGATATGATATATCAGAATATTCTATACCCCATAGCACATAATGAGGTCTTGAAACCGTGGAGCTCTCGTCACCGCTGGTGGCCCCAGAATGCAAACTCGCTCAAGGCCCCGCTGGTGGTTGGACAAATCTCACCGGGGAAAGGAAGAGGTTACCACCAAGATGGTGAACAGTACTAACAAAAAGCTATCGGAAATCAGTAGACCATTCAGAAATAGGGATTCTAGTTTGAGAAAACTTACTCCACTTCCCGCGAGATCGCCCCAACAAGGAAATCACTCGAGTCACAATACATGTCCAGATAGTCAATGCCCTTGCTGGCGACGGCCACTGTAGGTGATGCCTGGCCTTATATAGTTTATCATAAATCCCTGAACAAAGAAACGGTCACACTTTCTAAGCGGATGGAAGCCCAGTTGAGTCGGCCGTGTCGTCGCATCAGGTCTGTGGTGGGGAGTAGGGGAAACTGTTTTTTTGCTGCGTGAGAGATATCACGCTTATAGTGGAACCAAGCTATTAGCCGGTATCCACTGCCCGCATATCACAGTGAACCTTAGACCTGGAGATCAGGTTGATCCCTCCTTTAAAAGTCATTCTAGTGTATATATTTAACAGAAGACCTCCGGCCAGCACCCCCTTACTATAAACTCATATCACCCGAAGTGACCTCCCATCCCGCTACTCACCCCTCCACCCACTCTCCCACAAAAAGCACTATCCACACTTTTAATTATCATTTGGAGTTCGTCAAGATTATCAATGTTTTTTTCACAGTACACATTATCAACTCGGATAGAGATGGAAGGCTTCACGAGGGGTCACTCGGATATTCAGCTTCTGGGTTTTCTTGGCCCGGGCGCAAAGGGTGCTTTAGTTATGGATTATTTCCAGTCCGAAATATCTCCCAGATTTGGCTCGGCCACTCCGTTCCGAAACCGAGACTCTCTGGAAGTTTTCCCCTACTCGCCCGGGATTGGGCTGAGTGGTATATCGTGTTTGGAGGATCCAGCGTATATTTAGATAGGTTTACAGCTACTACTGTACAGTACCATATATACAAGGATGGGACGGAAGGAACGGGGCTCGCTCAAAATTTCGAGGGCTGTCTTATCCAATATGTCACTTTCTTGTCGGTCAAATTAACTCACTGATGTAAATGATGTAAAGGGGCTCTGGAGCGATATGTATGGTCTCAAAATCTATCATTTGGGAACTGGCATACATCCGCTAAGAGCAGCACCTGACACGATGCATGTCGGCAGATACCTGAAAAATAGCATATATCGGTAGTCACCCTAAACCTTCCGAATAGATTTACTACTCGGCTCACTGCCTCCGGCATGCATCTGCGAATTGAATGCCGGGTTACTTGGTACAGGCTGTTTTAGGGTGCTATAGCTTGGGGGGAGGAGATTGGGTTTTATTCTCAAGGTTGTGCATATATCGACAAAGGTAACTATCTCTATTTCACTGGTATGAGTGAGTGTGGAGATTTTATGGGCTAGTATTCCCCCCCCCCCCCGAGTTTTGCAATTCACCAGCTTAGGAACTACGCGTAAACGGCTACGATACTACCCTTAGCCACGGATACCTTCATGGAATATTCGGATGTAACGCTTAAACTGTATGGGATCATCCAGGCCCTGTACTCGTGTTTCTCACTTTGGGAGTTTATATCGAACGGTATATAACCTAGGGCTCCAAAGGGCTCTTTAGACAGGATTATTTCATTATCAATTTAATATCATACGGTACTTGGATCAGGCATTTGAGGGGATTCGCTCAAAATAGTTAGCGGGCACCGGTATGTTGTGTTCACCGCTCCAGGGCATATCCGGTCACGGCACTACAGGGTTGACGCAAAATCTGTTTTGCCTTTCAGTCTTTCGCCCCTTTCCTGCTCTCTGAGCTCGATCTGTCTTTCTTACCCCTCAAAAAAGTCACCCCTTTTCTTCAACCCAACTTTCATTTCTCGACCAAGATGTCAAATCCTTTTGAATTATTCCTCGAAAAGCCTTCAGAGAGCCTCCAGCTAACCTTTTCCTAACATAACATGTCTACAGAGCATGGCACCAAGAGCCATCGGAACAATGTACTACAGCGTGTCGGTCGGAACTCCTTAGTTGGAGTGATCTGAGGACAACATCTGCCCCTGTCATACATCGGACCCAATTTTTTCGCCATTCAGTTGGCTCAAACCCTCTGGCGATTCTGGGGGAGCAGCGAATCAAACGTTGTTGCAACGAGCGGGCTGGCGGCGAGGGTGCAAACATCATGGCAAACAGATCGCGACAAGCTCCGTTAAAAATGCATAGGGAATGCGGGTGGCATCTTAGAAATGCATCTCTTTGAGATACAATACGTTTATTCAGCTCCGACCGTGGGGATTTTCATATTGTCGGCTTTTAGCGTGGCGGTGGCGGCATTGTTGACAGGTGGCAAGACTGGCATGCCGGTACCGTAATCCGTGCCATTCTCGCTACATACCTCATCAGTTCATCACAAGTGGCCTTTTCATGGGTTGAGATGTGTGTAGGATGAACAAGGAAGGGGTGTGGGTGGGAATGGAGATGTATGTTTTGTCGGATCTTTTTCTTGTTGCCATATTTCTTTCTTGGCTAGATTTCACTTTTACAGCTTTCGCATGAGAGGTTTGTTGGAGACATGGTGTCAAAAGGGGGTTTATGGTACCGTAGTTATCTGCAGGAGTGAGATTCCGTGAAAAAATTGGACCAATGGGTAGCCCTGGTAGAAGGTCCTACCCGGGAGGGCTAGGGTTGAAATGCAGGATAACTCCTTGGCGCACTGAATTGGCTGCTTGTCTCAGCCAGTGGGGCCGAATACAAAAGGAAGCGCTTTCCCACGCACCTTCTTTCTCTTTGCTGTTCATTTTGCGGTCTCCTGTTCAAAATTTGCATCTTAAACATTTTCCTTTTTCCTTATCCATTCCCCATTCGATACCCACCCAACACGAGAGCAATAGGAGTTTTTCACCGTGTTAAGCGGCTGATAAACTAGAGAAGAACCTACACGAGAGAAATTAATTAATTTATTTATTCCGATATTGACTATTTTTTTTGCGGCGCCTGTTCACTGAACGTCCTTCGTCCCTTTTCCTTTTCTTTTTCTTTTTTCTATTTCTTCTTTCGTTTTTTGTTTTTTTATTTTTATTTTTCCATTTTAACCATCCCCCTTCATCTCGAGCCAACCCTTTTTGACCCAGGCCATTCCGAATTGGAACACGCGTGGCGCGTCGGGCAGGGGTATTGAGGAAACGGCTGAGTCATTCGGGCTCGATCAGCTTTAAAGCACTTACCCTGCCAGCTTTTCCTTTCCTTCCTTCCTTCTCGCCCTCTTCACCGTCTCGCAACCACACAACCCTCTCACCACTCAGCCGCCTCCGTTGTCGTGCACAACCACCTTCCACCCATCACCACCGCAGCCCACAAACATCGCCTAGCAACGACACTACCCCTCATTTTTTATTTTCCTGTCGCCTTGGACGCAAGGCAGCAACAACACAGCACACATATTTGCCCACGCGCACAACCAGACGCTGGCCCCATCCATTCTATCCCCACGTCGTTGCTGACTACTCGCCCCGCTCATCCCCGACCCTGCTCCCATACCCATACCTAAAATCCATTCTCCCGATTACCGTGCCTCTTGGCGTGCAGTGGCACAGGTAGACGATTCTGCGGCTCAACCCTAGAGCGGTGGACGCCCTTGAAATACCTTACCGTAGTTTCACCTCTCTCCCCTTCCCACTCCATCCACCTCCATCACTTCCCCCGCCACCTCGACCCCGCCTTTTCTTTCTTTCCATCCATCCCCTCCTCTTCCCGCATTTGTTTGCAAACTCGGTGCCTACAACTGTTTCATCCCCCGTTCCGACCACGGATTCTCATCGCGTCCATCCTGCGGTTGTCGCTGTCGCTGGTGGGCGTGAAGGAGATTCGTCCACCCCAAACGCTCTGGCCGGCTCATCCCGGTCTTCCATGGCAGTTATGAGTCCACAACTATCAGTAAACACGCAGTCGAGCGAGCTGAAGTCCGAAGCGGCCGCTCCTGCTCTCGCTTCGGCGGTGGACGGGAGCGCCGCCTCGGAAGGGGCGATGGCGATGGACTTGGATATTAACGGGTGAGTTTGCCCTGTCCCTGTCTGCTGTTTGTCGCTGCTTCCTCTCCTTCTACTACCTTGTACCGTCGTTCTATCTCGCAATGCATCTCCTCGACTAGCGTCTTGAGTGAGGATCGTGTGGCTGAGACGATGTATGGATCCAATCATGTCGCACAAATTTTGTTCTCCAGCTCCATCGTTTCTTGTACCTTTTTTTTTTCTATTTATTTTTATTTTTATTATTACCTTGTATTTACCATTATTATGTTCCTCTAGTTCCATCAAACAAGATGATAGTACCTCGCCTCAATTTGATCCATCGTCTCCGAAGGATGACCACGTCAGCAACGGATTACGCACGCCGTTTGTGAACGGAAGCGCCCCGGATGCGAAGATAAATGCGCCTCCTTCGCCCCCCATCCCCACCCCACCACTGCACTCTGATAACACACATGACCTTTCTGATCTGCATATCACGTCACCCGCTGGCTTGCCTGGATCTACAGTTATGTCATTCCAGGGGGGCGTTGGATTGGAGGATAAGGAAAGGCCGGCCGGAGAGCCAATGGACCAAGATGTATCTGGGGATAATGTCAAGGATGATAAGTCTGATGAGAAGTCTAATCAAGGGAAGGATGTCGGCTCCAATCGGTCGGAACCACCTCAGAAGGAATCGTCGGGCTCTATGGCTGATTCCTCTCATGGCACCACTACCGATAGAACTATGACGGATGCGCCTACCCTCAAAGCTTCACGTAGCCGAGATGACGACGACGGTGAAGGCCCTCCATTGAAGCGAGCTAAAACGGAGGAGGAAATGGATGTTGTTTCCCCAACGACCGCTGCGGCTTATAATTCCGCCGCCCCGTTGACGGAGACACAAATTAAATTTCTCCTGGGGGTGATTCGGAGTTTACGGCGGACCAAGGATGCCCGTCCTTTTACGATGCCGGTTGACCCTATAAAGCTCAACGTTCCTAGTTACTTTGAAGTTATTACCAACCCAATGGATCTTCACACTATGGAGAAGAAGCTGAACAATAAGGAATACTCGTCGTCGCGTGACTTTTTAGCCGACTTCAACCTAATTCTCACGAATTGTGTCACTTTTAATGGCCGCGAGCACCCGGTGGCCGAAAGTGGACGGGTTATGAAAGCTGTGTTTGAGAACCATATGGCAGGGTTTCCATCAGCTGACTTTATCGAGCCTCAGAAGTCGAAATCAAGCAAAAAGAAGGGTGGGGGAATCGCTGCTATCAAAGCTGCTGCGCCTAAACTGCCAAAGCCGGTAGCGCCTGCCCCACAAGCGATTAAAGCGACACAGACTAAGAAGGAATCGAAACGTCCTGCTCCGGCTGCAGCTGTTACAGCTGCCTCCCCTACATTTGGTCTCCAACCGTCCGGTATCCCCCAGATCCGCCGAGATTCTACTGCAAATGACAGGCCCAAGAGGGAGATACACCCACCAGCGCCTAAGGATTTGCCATATTCTGATGTCAAACCTCGACGCAAGAAGACCGCATCGGAACTCAGATTCTGTGATATCGTTCTCAAGGAACTTCACAAGAAGCAGTATCATGATATGGCATTTCCGTTTTATGTGCCAGTGGACCCTGTAGCATTGAACATACCTGATTACTTTAAGATCATCAAGAAGCCTATGGATCTGAGCACGATTTCGACGAAGTTGAAAACGAATCAGTATGACAGCGCTAGTGATTTCGAAGCCGATATTCGCTTAATGTTTTCCAATTGCTACAAATTCAACCCTTCGGACCAGCACGTTCACAAGTGTGGGAAGGCTTTAGAAAATGTTTTTGATCAGAAGTGGGCCGAAAAGGCTTCCTACACTCGGGATAATCCGGGCAGCCATTCTCCAGTTTCTGTTTCGCCCCCCGTGGAAGATGAAGATGAGGATATGAGCGGGGAAGAGAGCGAGGACCAGGAGCAAAACATCCGTATGCTCGAACAGCAGCTCGAAGCGATGAAAGATCAGATATCAGCGATGAAGAATGGGCAAAAGAAGAAAAAGACTCCTCCTGCTACCTCTACCAAAAAGTCGAAAGGGGGTTCTTCCCGAAAAGGCTCATTAGTATCTGCCGCCCCTCCGCCTAATCCCTCTAGACCCAAGAAGGGAAAAAAGGAAAAGAAGGTTCCTTACATTACCATGGAGCAAAAGACGGAACTTTCGGAAAGGATAAATTTTTTGCCAACCGGAAAGATGGCTTATGCTCTTAAGATGATTAGAGAGAATATGCCCGATCTGGGTAATGTGTGTACCTATATCTATCCGTACTATTCTTATTGTTGCTAACGTGCACTAGACAGCTGATGATGAGATTGAGCTCGATATTGATGAGCTAGACCCCCAAACGCTGTACAAGCTTCATACATATGTTACCAGACATGCGGAGAAGAAGCCCAGCGGATATATTCCACCACCGCCCCCTCCTGCACCAGTCACAGAACCAAAGTCGAAGTCCAAAAGTCTCCCGAAATCCAAGAAGAACAAACCTATGTCTGCTGTGGAACAGGAAGCCAAGATCAAGAACATTCAGGCTAAGCTTCATAACTTTGATAATCCGACCCCACAGCCATCTAACTCTGGTATTTTAAACCCCTTCCCCCAGCATTGCATGGCACGTTGAAGGATCAATATGGCTAACCATGAATCTAGCTGCCCATGGTGATGATAGCGACTCGAGTGATGACGATGACGAGAGCTCGTGTTCGGAGAGCGAAGAAGAGTAGACCCCTGCTCTGGTTAAAAAAAAACACCCTTTGCAACAAAAGCTATTATTTTCGAAAAAAACTTAATTGCTTGGGTCATTTCAAACAGTGTGAGGGCGGGGGGTAGGTGGCATAAAAAAAGTGCAAGTTCTATTGTTAAGTTATTATTCATGTACCCGTCTGACAAAAAGAACATGGCTCATTGTTCATTTTTGTTTTCGGGGGAGAGTAACTTGCTTGTGCTGTGAACCGGCGTCTGGGGATGTGGGCGTAAGGGGATAAGTGCGGGGTTTGTTTTAGGAGGAGAGGGGCGGAATGTTGTCCTATGAGAGACGTGGCATGGACGGAAGGTTGCAGTTTTTTTTTTTTACAATGGCGGGGTTGTCGGCGGCATCTTGGCTTTTTTCAATTTTTTTTCATTGATTGCTGACTGGCTGACACTTCCATTCTAACTTGACTAACTTAATGACCTTTCTTCATCTTTGCTTTTCTCTCTTTTCTTTTAAAAACATACTTGAGCTTCTTTGTTCCTGCCCCTCAACCTTTACATTTTACTTCTTGTATCTTTACATGTTTTATCGGCACAGGGGGTGTTTTTTTTTCTCTTTTCCTTTTCTTTTCTTTCCTTTCTCTCTCTTCCCTTCTTTCCTGAACATATTCATTCGGGTCCTTTGTGAGCATTGTGATAGTCCATTCATCCATCCATCGTTCTGTCAAAAGCCATGAGCTCCTTCGACAAATGCTCTTCCCCCGAAAAAAAGTTTGGGAGAAGACGTCGACCGGGCGCAAGTATCATATCGCCATAATAAAATCAGAGCCCGAACATTGAACCTCTTATTTTTTTATTCCCCCACTTTTTTTTTCTTTCCCCTTCCTTTTCCCCACTTTCCATTTCTTGTACAGTACCACTATTTCTCATCATTTTTATCTCGGGGGGTTCATATGGTAGCTTAAAAAGAATTAAATTGTATGATATTAGGTGGCGTTCTTACCGTACAGTACTACTTACTCCCTTCTCCTGGTTCGCTTGTGCTCAGATTTGCTTTACCTTTTTTTTCTCCTTTCACCCCTCACCCTGCGTATAGTACGGTACTGTTGTACCGTACCTCTTTGACCCGGCTTTTACTCGGGCTTTTCACTCATTCTTATTCTTACTCTTTACTTTTTGTCTTCCAATGTAGTATTACCGGTATGGCATAGTGGCGGGGGGTTTGGGTGAGTGAGCGAGTGAGTGAGTGGGTTTTACGGGTTGGTGGATGGAGTTGGCTAGATGGGGTTAGTTGGGAGAATTTTTTCTTCTTCCCTATTTCTTAAGTTAGGCTATATTGATGGTGGAACAGACACTGTTGCTTTGTATTGCTGTGCGATCGCGTGAGTTGGTTGTGCTTGGAATACTTGGGCGCATTGAGATAGGATTGGATACAGGTAGTTTTAATACAGATACTTGCATGACAGGAGAATGATCGATTGAGACGTTTACATTAAGCAGGGTTTGAAAAAGGGGTGAAAAGAATTGGGGGGGTCGGGTAAGAAATGAGCGAACAAGTGGAAAACAAATGTTGGGCACGATACAAACGCGAAAAATGAACCAGTTAGCCAGAAAAGGTAATCATGATACAGTAGAGAGCAAAACATATGGACCTATCCCTTCCGCTTATTGCATCCCCTCATACCTCTCTTTGGCCTTCTCTTTGGTCCGCTTGACAAAGTCATTATATCCGCCTCCGCCACCCTTGGCGACCTCTTCCACATCTCCAACCTTCCCCCCCTTCATTCCTAATCCAACACCCTGGGTGTACATTTCGGCAATAACATGCTCCGTCCTTCCATCCCCGCTCACTCCCAACCCCTGTCCCGAAGTCCAACCCATCTTGCCTAGGAGTGCAGCTCCCCTGCTTGGCAACACAGGCTCGGGCTCAAGCTCGGGTTCCTCCTTCTTTCTCTTCTTAGATGAGGAGGATTGCGGGGCGGTGGACTTTCCGAATACCTGTCTGCGTTCCTTTGCGCGATCTCTGTACTCCGCCGTGTCGTTATTAGGGGTTAAGGCGATCCCGGCTTTTGTCAATTTCCTCATGGCGGCTTCCCGTAGTTCAGGATCCTTGAGGTTATTGAGGTGAAGGTTGCTGACCCTTTCATGCTCGTATATCTTCTCCGCAGTTTTGAACTTTCGGCTACAGAGGAGACAAGCCAGCTTCTTCAGGTCCGCAAAGGACTGAGGGGTCTGGGTTTCGTCGGCTTGATCCTCGGCCTTACGTTTCTTTGCGCATAAACCAGATCCGCTGTTTTCGCTTCCGGATGTAGACTCATTGTCACCTCTGCTTTCTTGTGCTTGTGTGGGGATCCCGTGAAGTTCCGAGTGGCGATTCTGCCAGAATTGAAGATGTGCTGGAACAGATTTCTTAGTTATGGGCACTGCCGCTCCGATTACTTCCTTGTCCGCCCTTTTCCTTTTCCCTTTTCCCTTTTCCTCACTGCCTTCTTTTATGCCTTTCTGCTTCTCCTTAACTGCATCCTCTGACCCGCCGCTGGTTTCCGCTGGCTTTGACACGGTGTGTTCGGAGACAAATCCGTCATCATCCCAATAGGCCAACCTCAACCCGTTACCGACGTGTGCACTCATTGCAGTAAACGTGAATTTGTCCGCGCCTTTTGGCGCGTTGTAGACAGGCACAAAGACTCCAGGATGAATGTAAGATACAGTGACAGGTTTACTGCTAATGGTAAACTTCTCCACCTTGGCGTAGGCCGCCAGCGCAGCCTGGGCATCAGATGCTGTCGAGAATTCGGCGAATCCATATCGCCAGGACTCATTTGTCTTTCTGTCGCGTACTAGTAAAATACGCTTTAAGGAGGATTCCTTTGCACCGATCGGCCCAGTTTTTGACATTTCTGGAGTATCGGAGTTCGGAATCGTGAGTTTGAGGGCTCCCTTGGCGAGGAGCTCTTCATTCACCGAAGATTCAAGGTTGCGGAACAGGAGAAATTGGGAGGGTGGTGACGTAGTCATATCACGCTCCCCATCGTTGGTGAAGTGCGTAGGAGTAGGGTGTGTCAAAGTCCCAGTGACACTCAGCTCTGAAGGTTTTCTTAGAAACCAATAACGCGTTTGGATATTCAAGGTGAATCGTACCTGATTTTGGAGTTTGACAACGGAAACATTCCTGACGGCGCGGGTAATTTACTAGAAGACACTGCATCTGTTGGTTAGCATTTGGTGGTTTGGGGGGCAAGCGTGTGAGGTGCGGAAACACGTACAACTCTGCATTTCCATTCCTCCTCGTCATCTCGCCTGCGGCTTCTCCGATCGCTTTCATCGCGTTCCCTCGAAAAGGCAATACGACATCTATCAGCTGAGGGACCTAAACTAACAGTAGGATAATACTGCTCCAAAAAGGCCCTGGACTGTTGAACTGTGGTGAAGTGTATGAAAGCAAACTGTCGTGATATGCCTGGATCGCCAAACCCCCTGTTTAGTTCCTGGTAAAAAAAATACGCGAGCCTGGGGGGTGTTTGGGTACCAGTTTTTCGCTCCCTAATGACGGCCACTTTTTCAATACCCTCAACATGCAGTTCATGTCTAAGTTCTTTTATAATCTGCGATCCCCTCGACGGCCGTAAGAGACCCCCCAGGCCAAACTTTCAGCAGAGGTCCATCTAAAAAAGGTGCAGATAAAAAAAGGAGAAAACAGTCAAGCTGTGAAAATCAGGGTGACGGTAGTGATTGTGGTGATGATGGGCGATTATGCCCAAAGTATTGGCACATCAGTCCAAAGGGGAGGGTTAACAACGTATTCGTCATCCATCTCCGGTCCAAGTCCATCTATTATGACATCTCTGCTTGCTGGTCCCCCGTACCACTCTCGATCTCTGCTCCCACTTCTGGAACGGGGGGCATCGCGGTCGTAATAACCTCTTCCTCTTGGCTCTCGTCCACGGCTACGTGCTCTGTCTCGGGATCGGGAGCGTGACCGGTAGCCTGATTGTTGATGGTGATAGCCTCGTGGTCCTCTGGGGGCATCCCGGGGCGGTGAACGACGGCGAGGCGAGCGGGATCTAGAGCGGGACCCCCCCCTGTAAGCTGGAGAGTAGGATGAGCGATGAGAGCGATGGCGGTGGTCCCGCAGATCTCTGTCCCTGTCCCTGTCCCGCTCGTGGTCTCGAACGCTAAGCGTCTGGCGGTGCGGGCGATCAGCATAATAAGGATCTTCGTGCTGGTCTTCCTTGTACCTTCCCTGGGGCGATAACGGTTGTTGATAGTAGGCCATCAGTAATTCGTGGTGCGCGATAGGTATACGCGAAATATTGTGTTGTGTCTAGATGTCGAAGAAGTGGCAGCTGTTGTGTGTCGTGTATGGTGGGGAAAGAGAGAACAAAGAGATGAGCTAGGCCGCGATACGGGAGGAATCGTTTTTGTCATTCGCTCTAGGCTTGGCAAGCCCAGATGAGGCAGCAGAAATTGTGAAATACGACAAGGTTTATCGAAATAGGTCATGTAACTTATCGCGCAAACTAAGGAATACGAGTACAAGTGCCAGGGGAGATATTTTGGTACAAGCCTCGTTAATTCCATAATATTCGCAGCTATCAAACTAACTACAAGCCAGGGATTATTTTGCAGGTTAACCTAAATTAACTGTGCGAAAACACTATCCCTGGCACTTGTACCATAGCAGTTTCACCCTATTTTGAAATATGGTTCCGGAAGGCTAGCCTCAAAACCAGTTTTGACCCAAAAAGTGGCAATTTTTCCTGCAACGGCAACTGTAATGCCTTGCTAATTATTTACTTTAACACTTAAGCCGTGAAACCCTAACCCCTGGGGTTTGTGGGTTATCATGTTTTTCGAAATATCTCGTTTCCAATTTTGTATAATAATATATAAGGATATTTTGAATTTAGAAATTTATTTTCTTTATTATATTTCCTGCGACGTGATTTATAGTAAGTACAATGTTTGATAGTCTCATGTATTTAATATTTATTTTTCTCTTCCCTGATAACAACACAATTTGAAGAACATGCCAAGTTAGGAACCCAAAGTGTTAGGGTTTTATGGCTTACCGTAAGTGTTAAAGTAAACGGTTAGTAAGGTGTTATGGTTGCCGTTGCAGGAAAGATAGTCCCGTTTTGGGTCAAAGCTGGTTTAGAGGCTAGCCTTCCGGAGCCATAGGTGCTTCCATGGCCACCGATACCATCGTTCCATCGAAATAATTCCTTCGTGCAAGCAGAAATAGAAAGAAAAGAAAAAAACACTCATTTTGTCATAGAATCTCACTCGAGGTGTCGCCAATTGTGTTATCGACTTTGACTTCCCTTGCCAAACTACGCTCCCACCGCAATACCCTTAGTCCCCAGGAAAAAGGAGGATATCAGTCTTGAGAATAAGTAAAATAGCTGCCAGAACTCGACTCTACGCTAGAAATTCCAGCTCAGGTTGTGGGGAGGTGCCCCATTTGGAAGTCGTTCAGTATTTCTCCCTTGGTCTTTCTTTTCTGTTTTGCGGGAGCCCTTAGCTACTCTCTTGCTCGCCCGCTGTCGCACCCCGTGTCTCCTGGCCTGAGCTGCAATCGTTGTACTTTCGTCTATCCCCCCCGGCTGGGTCTTGTGTTGCTTGGCCGGATGCTAGCAGGTCTTATGTCGTATCCTTGGTACCGGATGCTATACAAAGGTCGCATGAATCGGCCGTTGGTGTATGGAGGCTTGATTTCCGCGGACGCCCCATCTCGAAGCTGGTATTATACCGATGGGTTCACTTATTGTGCCCATTCGAGTTCGATGAGCTGCACCATAGTACCACAGCTTGGTCTTAATGTCTATGATATCAAACCCTAAACCATAAATCACACTTGTCCCATACATGTTGCAGGGCAGGGCTTTAGTAATTATATTTTGCCGAGAAAAGTCTTGGCGATTCTGAGGAAGGTCTATATAAAAGGGGGGGGGGGGTGCCCACCCTCACTTTCTTCTCTCCTCTCCTTGTTCATCTCTCTTGCTCTTGTCTTTATATATAGTTCTTTTCATGTCCACCTACCCTTGCTGTTTGGTATTTTAAAGGATAAATTATAGTCGCACCGCCACTTGGGAGTAAATCTATGGTATGCTAACCTTTAGGCTTTTATTTTATTTTTCCCTTTTCTTCTTAATTTCATCTTTTTCTATGTTTTCTTTATTTTAAGTCTTGTCTGCTAATCTTATTATTTCTACTAGTAATATTTACTTGAGAAGTTATGTTTTGCCAGTGTACCTACAGTTTACAGAGACAAATACTTACCAGAAAGTAGGATGTAAGTATGTTACTTATTGCAATTAAGTTGACTCAGATATAAGTTGAGTACCTGAACTTGAAAGCTAACTAGAAAGATCTAAGAGAACAAGCAAGAAAAAGATCTAAAAGAACAATTCAAAAAGTACTATCTGGTAGAATATCAATATTCTTACTTACTGATACTCTCTCCTGGTGGTAGTAGGAATCTAGTAGAGCAAAATATGTAAATCTAAACAGGAAATTGATTGATATTTTATATTTAAAACTAGTAAGTGGTATCCTCCTTTCTAGGAAGTTTGAGGATTGATTGCTATATATAGGATGAGGATTATAGGTTTATCTGAGGGATCTACTACAAACTCAAATGATAAAAATCCCCAAGTTCTGATATGATAATAATCATAAACTCTACCATAGTTTTCTTGTAGAACTTGAATGGTGGAGGCAGAAGAGATCTGGAGAAGTCTGATGAGGTTTGTTGTATAAAGGCTTGGTTAAAACTTTGCAAATAGAAAAGTTTGGTTGTTTGTACTACACTTTATATTGAATTACTTATATGTAATCTCAAATAAATATTATATGGTCTTAGAAATCTTGGGAGTAGAAACCTCAGTATTTGGAGATCAGCTTGTTTACATGGCTTCGTTACACAATACAAAAACAGGTTACATTTATGAAACATGTTAGAAGTAGTCGGAAAATAGAATATTGGAGCAGGAGTATTAGGGAAATGCTGGATGTTAGAACAGATCTGACAATAAAAATTGTATGTCGATGATATTATCACTATTCATTTTTTTTTACCTGCTGTTGCTGCACATTACGGTACGTACCTTTGTTCCCTCTCAATACTGGAGTACACGCTGTACCCGCACGTGCAGATATTCGCCCTAAAGCGTTACTTCCGTGTCTATCCGCCGACCTAAGTACATAAGTTTGCCCAAATCCCGGGGGAGACGAGACGATACAGCAATCACCCGAGTCACCAGATGACAATCAACGAAGAGAGGACGGACGTCCTACACACACACCATTCGCGCTATCAAGGCATACGGTACTACGGTATTTCTACAGAGAGGGGGAGAACGTCCTTCCCTCCCCCTCCAACCAAGACAATCCCAAATCGCTTAACCACCCCACCACTCACTCTACCTACCCCCACCGCCACCAGCACCAATACGAAACACCATCAATTGCCCAGGATACCCCCCGAAAGAGCTACGCCGTCGGACCGCAAGACGTGACCTAGTCTACCCGTCCATCCGCTAAGCCGTACCCGTATCATACCGCAAACCCGGAAGCCTTTGTCTCTCCGGTCTAACTTAACCTGCCGGACACCCACGCGAATGGAGAACCGAGCGGACGGCAGCGGGAAAAAGTACACTACACTAAGGGGCTATTCCCGGATCACTTAAAAAATCCCTAGCTATCTATGTGTGCATGCGGAGCGAGGAGGGGAGGAGAGAGACAAGTGCCCCCCGATTGAAGCATGCGGTATGAATGTACTGGCACTGTACCATACCGCACTCAACTTGAGTATCATATACCACGGCCCTTTTTGTGCGAATGCGGGACGGGATCGAGAGCTCTCGTTGGTGGTGGTGCTCTTCCGGGTTAATGATGCAATTCGTTAGCTAGAGTCTAGTCTACCGGTTGCCTTCCCTTCCCTGAGCAACTGCACTTCGCGCACGCACGGCGTGAACTGGTGTTGGTGTGGGGTTTTCGCAATGAGCGGATGAGGATGTCTTGGTATGGATCTCTTTTTATTTTATTTTTATTTTTACCCTCCCTTAACCTTTGTATGATACTATGCCGTCCTGGCCCGTTTGTTCGTTCCAAATAAGTTAACCACGCCTACAGTATTGTACCCTATCGGTCCGAGCACCGCACCGTACGGCACGGTACGTGACTGCGCAGTAACCTTTTTGGACACTTTTTTCTTTATCCTGGGGCTCCGTGTTGTGCCTTACTATTCATGTACTATTCATAAAGAAGAAGTGCAGTGCATGCCGTAGGCTAAAAGCGAGTCTCGAGTAGTAGATTCCAAGATATGGTCGTTCTTGCTTTGTCTTTCGGAGAGTCTAGGCGGTGGTGGTGGGGAAATGCGGGTTACTCGATGCTTGCTTGACACAGACCCGAGAGATTCCTAACTATATATATGGAGTGGTAGAGTATAGCAGGATTTACTCATATTACGGGTATAGATGTTAGTTGGGGTATCGTAGTCTCACATCAACTCGTACTACATACCCTACCTCGAGTGGAGAGGGGAGGGAGGGGGCAAGATAGGTTGATATCTCCTTTCTTTGCCGGAAATTCTTCGCTTCTTCTTCTACTCCTACGTCCTACACCACCACTTGCATTTACCGCTTCTCGAGGGACGACTGATTACCCCTCCCGGTGATACCTGAAGTTGAGCAATGTTTTGGATATTGGTACGGGGACTGGGATCCGGCTAATAGACATTGGGGAGTTAGCTACCTTATCTGTATACAATTTCTCATAGAAACGCTATCGGTACTGAATGGAACTTGCCAGCCGACACCCTACTACGGTGTAGGCTCCAGTGTTGCACTGTAGAGAGATAGGCCTTAGCCTAATTCGGGCAGTCAGAGGTGGGTAGTACCGACCCCCAAATGTGTGGAGGGATCACCGGTAAGCAGGGGGTTATGAGGATTGGTGGAGAAACTGATATATCACATCACGTCTTGGGCCCCCGCCGGAAGCCCACTTCTCGGGGGAGCTGTGTAGTGCAGGAGGGGGGGGGGGGGGAGTGGTCGTTCGAAGGGGATACTTTTGATTTGAGACGTATGCGACATTTAGCTGGCACTTGAATGGACAGGGGAGCATCACCCTATCAAGCTTTCATGTGAACAGTACTGTAGGAAATTTTTATATTTCTCCCTTTTTTTTAAAAAAAGAAAAAGAGAATCCCCCTGCAACCCCCACCTCCGCCGCCCATCTAATTTGCTCTAAGGTTAGGATATGGTCACGGTAAACCCGGCAGCTACATTAAGATGGGAGGGTACGGAATAAGCCCCTACAATGACGGCTCCGTCTCCCACCAGGACGTATCGCT